TTTTAGAAGTCATAGCAAAAAACCTACACAGTTATAACAGGTAGATATTTAGCTTTTTTTTTTTTTTTATATTTGGTGAAAATAGCAAGACCAAGACTATGATTGAGTTTGCAAGACCAAAATCAAGATCAAGATTTTGAAAGTCTTGGTCTTGGTCTTGTTTTGATCATCACTAAATAAAAGCCGATAGACCATTGCCCATGGAGACGGTGCGTACCTACGACGGGGCCGGGGTGTTGTCGTGTTCACGCACGAGACTCGGACGTTTTTTCTGATAAATTTGTTAGTACGATAATATTAATTTATTGTTATCATTATTATCGCACGCAAGCGTTGGATCATCGGCGGATAACGGTATTAAAATACGGCATTCGAATTGATTCATTAATCGTACGGAAATGAATACAACAAAAGAAACTCGGCACCGACAAACTAGAATGAAGGTTTTAAGGGGCTGTAAAGTTTTAAGTGTCGATTCGCATACGGCAACTGCAGTGCACCCGCTGAAACTGATCAATTCGAATATTAATCAGTTCAACCGTAAGATTTTCGACGAGTTCGCGTACACTATTACTCTCTCACAGTTCATAAATAACGAATTGCCTTCGGAATAAAATATTAATCATTTGACGTTGCCAACAATGCCTTACTTTTATAATTTTTTCGGACTATTCGGACGTATTCGAGAACGGTTTTATAATGATGTACTTACCTACTATTTTTCGTTATTCAAAAAATAAAAATAACATTTTTCAGAATCAAAATGGTACTCGTAGCGGACTCGGGTTGTGCATTGAAATTTTGATTCATCCGAATTCTCTGTATCTATGAAATACACAATGATGTTCTCGAAACACACTTGAAATGTTACATTTTTTTTACTCGTGGCAATTTTTTTTCCTGACCTACAACATTTTTAATTACACATACCTTTTTCGGAAATCGCTAAATATTTTTCTGAGCAGACACTTGAAAAGGAAAAAAATTGAAACCGCACGTCCACGTACGACTAATAACGATAGCATGCACGTTATGTTTTGTACTCTGAAATTAAGTTTCAAAAACGAGAATGAAAGAGGAAATAGCTCGACGCTATGACGTGGTTTACAAGAGCAAACTATTACTCCAACGTAGTTATCTCGACGCGGTTCAAATGTATAATGCAAATGATATATCGTTTCGGGATAATGTGTACGCAAGCCCCGCCGATACGGGACATGTAAGCTTTCGAGAATAAATTATTTCTCTACACCGGAGGTTATTATTATTTTCATTAATTGTGTACTGCGTGTGTACGACGACCAACACCGTTATTCACGACGTTGTTTTACACTGTTTTAATCATAATATTTTTTACTACTTGTGAATTTCGTTCTGGTGTTTTCGAGGTTTATTGTTCGGTTTAGCGTTTTGCTCTTTTTCAGCACACGGCCTTACGGAAAAACTGACGTTTCCAAGAGGTTTGTTTTGCGCAAACGTAATATTAAAGGCAAACGCGGATAATATATTTCACGTATTTATTCCTTTTCGAGTCTCTCTCTCTCTCTCTCTCTCTCTCTCTCTCTCTAGAGAGAGAGAGAGAGAGAGAAAGAAATAGAAAAAGACGTGAAACTATTTTCTACATAAATGATTGTGCAACACGGTACGTCTCTCTATTTAAAAATATATATAACGTGAGTTAACCGTGTTAACCGCGTCTTCTACCACATTTACAAAATTACTGATCGTACCCTTGGATTGGTGTGTGTGTGTGTGTATTTTTTTTTTAAATAAAATTAACGGTTCAGAATTTGCATAAAAGTAGCTACGGGGCCATGGTATAATTATTTGCAGTATATTTTATACTCTAAACAGAGCATGCGGATTGTACTGGTTTGATGTTTCTCTTGCCGTGATCAAACTTTCGTGTACGCTAAATCTGCACCAAAAGTTCAATACGGTAAACTTGTTACACAAGGAACTATATTGCCATGGCAAACTCTTCGACGAGGTCACATTTCGATCTTTTCAGTATTTAAATTTAACTTCTTAACGAAACGCGCGAAGTGATGTTCACTCGTCTGAAAACTATAATGATAATATGCTGCAATTATAATTAATATGGAAAATGTAAAGTTCATTTTATGATTACGAAGTGTCTAATAATAATTATACGAATAATTTATAATTCATTACATATTCCATTTAAATAAAAATAATTGAACTTAACGTCGATTGTTACGAAATATTATATTTTAATTTCATTAGGTTCTTATAATAACCACGAACGCAGCTCAAGTTAATAAATAATTATTATACTTGCATAATTTGCCTTCTATATCGTCAACGCACGCGTTATGTAAATCCGTACGTATTCACTTTTAATTTTCAAATGCGTTATTGCATTGTAACGTTTTTATCGTGTAATAAATTAATACGTTTCTGAGAATATTTCGTAAATTCGAACACTATATTGAACAATGCAATAAATTATTTTAATTCTAAACTTTTACAATGAGAAGAGTGTAGTATATATTTGTTTTCTACTACAGTGACATTTTACCGTTCAAGACCCGTCGCAAATGTTTCTATTAGGGATCGGTGCACGTTGTTAGACACACATATTATCGGTTCGGTAAACAATCGCACTATTACGTAGTCGCGATTTCGACGAAACCGATATGTTTCACGTGCAATACGCATACACCGGGGTCGCGTTAATCTGAACACGGGCTAATCCGAAATACGTGATGATTCGAACGGGCTTGAGAATTATCGCATCGCTATTTATTAAAATATGTGCATGTGTTAAAAATAAATAATTCAATATTTTAAAGAATACTTAAGTGTGTAATTTTATATACTTACACAAAGGTAATAATGATTTTCATTGTACCCAATGTCATTTTCAACTATGTAGAGATAAAAATTAATTTCAAAATCTAAATTGCAAGAAAATTTTTTTCAAGTCATAGGTTATCCAAAAAATCCCTTTTCCCCAATATCGTTCGGATTATCACGACCCTATTGCATTCATTTTATTGACTGGTAAAGGGAAAAATGATTATTTCGGGACTAAACGACACAGAGTGCACTATGGGACGCATATTAGCATTCTGGGGTCGGTCTCGGCACCGGTTATCATTTTAGCGTTATGATTGGTCGTTTGGTTTTGCTGCGCTTTTTAAAAACTGTTACCTATTACCTATAACCTTGTTATTTAGTATTATGTGTTATTTAATATTATCGAATTGCAATGCCTATTTATTATTTATGATACTATTATAAAGTATGAATATAAATAATCTTTAAAAGGGTTTTTACTTTTGAATTTTTTTAGGTAGCTTTTTAAATAAAATATTATGAGTCAAAAAGTATCTTAAAATGTTTAAATTAATGGAATTTGATAATAATTCATTTCGTTCTAATATGTTTTCTGAACAAGATATTTGTAACTGGATTAGATTGGATTAGTATTCATGGTAAAAATACTAATACAAGCTGGTGTATGAAAACATATTAGAACGAAATGAATTATCATCAAATTTCACTAATTTAAACATTTAAGAAACTTTTTGACTTATAATATTTTACTTAAAAAAACTATTATTTATATTCACACTTTATAAAAAAAAAAAATAGTAAATATGCATTGCAATGTGATAATATTAAATAACTTATAATACTAGAAAACAGTTTTTAAAAAGCGTGGCAAAATCAAACGACCAATCAGAAAGCTAAAATGATAACCGGGGCCGAGACCGACCCCAGAATGCTAATAGACAACAGGCACTCGATAGCGCTAGTGTAGCTAGTGTTGTTCTGACCATAGAGTAACAAGATTTTTAATTTATAGATTTCGACACAATCATCGTTTACGTAAAAAGTATGTTACAAGAGTGTAATGATGTGCATCATTCGACTGTTAAAGACGGCACAAATATTTTATTATGTATACAATATATATTTTTAAATTCTTTCAAATAAATAACGGTATCTTCGATACCCGCACGAACGACACGGGTCGAACAATAGTAGTATTGACATCCCTACATTAAAAGGACAGGCCCAAGGTCCATGCCGCCGCGTGTGCCTATATAACAGGGACACACACACAGAGTCCTTAATCTTAGATCGTCAGTGCATGCGCACCGATCATAAGATCAACGACGGGACACACAGAGTCATTGGTCTTAGATCGTCAGTGCATGCGCACCGATCATAAGATCAACGACCAACGATTTGCATATTTACATACGCGATTTGTTTTGAATCATTCAAGAAGAAAAAAATATTGAATCTGTTCGACTTGCGTTCTTCGTACGAGTGTTGAAGAATACCCAGTTCTGGTGCCATTAAAATTTGCATTTGTTCTTTCTTGTTCAACCTCACGTCGACATCAGAAGATCTACGGCGAACAGGTAAGTGCTATTTTATTTAGCTTGGCAGACTGCACAATTGCACTGATCGGCTCTCGAACCTTCTCAACCCCGAGAGCCCTCCCTTAAACAAGGAGGAAGGTAATAACCCATCGCATCACACCTACCACACCTATATACCTACTTTATTTCATTTTTGTACTTTTGGGTTATTACAAGAGTAAACACCGAAGGTGCTTTATTATGAGGTATATAAACGAAACTAATTAGGATTGTGTTCGCCAAGGTACAATCGCATAGCGTTTGTTTCCTACTTTTATCGTTCATCAACTTTTATAATGTATGTAATACAACATAAATTCGATACGATAAAAATGTGCCTTGTATTTTTTTTTAATTTTTCGTGATTACTGAACAAACTCATCTGGTATAAGATAGGTTAACAATATATTATATTGATCTGTAACTGATGAAATGTCTTAGCAGACTTAATAACTAATACTATATGATACACGGACCGTTAGATAAATTACACTCACGATTATTAGATTATTATGATTAACTCACTGTTCCATAGAACTATAGTTTATTGATTATATCAATTTAGTAATATTAATAAGTTTGAAACAATTACCGTTACGCCGTGTCCAACGTAAATCCGTCAAATGCGTTTAACGCAGTGCGTTGCGGTCAATGCGATGAAAATATTAATCAAAACCGTAGACATGATTCGACGTGTCCTAACTGGACGGCGAGTGCGTCCGATACGACCGATAACGCATCAGCCGTATTCGACGCACTAGTTTGAAAACAAATAATTTTGTTTTCAAACGCAAGAACGCAACGCACTGCGTTTATCAACGAACTCACATAATATTAACGCATACAAAATAAACACCTTGTTGTATAATCATTAATTTATATTATTTATCAATTATTTTAATATATATAATTTAAAAAACACAAATTTAAATATTAAAATGGAGCTGTTAATATCGGAAGTACAAAAAAGAAGCGTTTTATGGAATAAATGGCATAAAAAATATAGAGACAGAATTGTGAGTGATAAAGAATGGAATGCAGTGGCTGAGAAAACTAAAATGGATAGTAAGTAATTAATTTCTGATTAAAGATTTTGTACAAACTATTTGAAAAATAATTATTCAATGTTAGAATTTACAATTTAAAAAATTGTACAAGTTATTAGAACATTAATTTTAATAAAAAAAAAGGAATTGATTATTATAATATACATCTGATATAATTAATTATAATATTATGTCATACTAAACTTAAATTCTACTCTCTTGAAAAAACTGTACGAAACTGTTACGTATTTGAATAGCTGTACGAGATGCACGGTTATTAGATTTACTTCTTGGATTTATTCCCATTAATTGACTATTATTTAGATTTGTTTCACTTTGTGTATTTGTGCTTTTTTGATTAGAAGATCCATGTTTTTCACAATCAATTATAACATTATGCAATATACAAATCGCCTTCACCACGTGATCAGCATTTTCAACATTTGTTTCTATTGCCTTCAATAGAATCCTAAACTTTGAAGATGCGATACCAAATGCACACTCGACAATCATTCTGGCTCTAGATAGTCTATAGTTAAAGTACGATTTGTTAGTTTCTTGTGTTTGCTTTCTTGGGAATGGCCTCATTAAATAGTTTCTCAGAGGAAACGCTTCATCTCCAACAAATACATAAGGGGCTGATATTTCTGAATTGGGCAGTTTTGTTTCTGTAGGTAATTTTAGTGTACCATTTTCTAAACGTTGGTGAAAATTTGTATTACACAAAATACTGCCATCACTATCTTTACCATAAGCGCCCACATTTATCATTGTAAATCTATATCTGGCGTCAGCAACTGCCATTAAAACTGTTGAAAAATATTGTTTATAATTGTAGAACATACTTCCGGAATTTTTAGGACATTTTATTCTTATATGCTTTCCATCAACACTGCCCACACAATTAGGAAAATCCCATTTTTCATAGAATTCGTTTGCTATTTTCTTAAACTTTTCTACTGTTGGAGTAGGCATGTGTTTATTCTTTAGAGTACACCAAATAGCTTTGCATACATCTATAACTATTTGTGCTACTGCCGATTTAGATATTCTGAACGATAAAGCTAGTTGTCTAAAAGCCATTCCTGTTGCTAAATACCTGTTTAGAATAAACAAAATAATTCATTTATAATGAATTTTGACAATTCAACTGTTGAGGATATTTTTACTATATTTTATATTTTAAATAAATTATGTAAAATAAAAAAAAATCATTTAAAAAATATCGTCTTGCATACGATTTTTTAACAAAGTAAATGTATTAATAGATATGAATATAGTGTTTATTTTCTACTTCTGTTTCTATTTTATAGAGGATGAAGCTAAAAAAAAAATGGAGGAGTTTGAGGGATACATTTTTAAAAGAAAAAAAAAAGGTTACTAAAAGTCGGTCAGGAGATCCTCAAGAGTGTGTGGAAATATATACAGGACGGTGGAATTATTATAACTTATTATTATTTCTAAAAGATACAACAGCACCTAGAATAACGGAAGATAATGTTTCTGAATGTGAAGAGGAAAGGATAGAGGAAGATTCAGATGCATCAGAGAACGAAAAAATCGAGAATAATTACGATGTTAGTAATAATTATGTTAATGATGGAAGTTATGAAAATATTTCAAGTCCAACTGGGGTCAGTAATATTGAAAATCCATCATCTTTGACCCAATCAGAAAGTTCGAATTTGGATACTCAAATTACAAATAGTTCAAGCTATTCTACTAACTTACAATCATGTCCTAAAAAAAAGAAAAAAAGAAATGATGATCAAAAAAATTTTGAAAAAGAGTTACTACAGATAGAAACCCAAAAATTAAATGCTTTGCTACAATCAAATAATACAACTACTCCAATTGATGATGATGATATGTTGTTTCTTAAATCACTCCATCCATATTTTAAAAACATGCACGCTATACAAAAACTACGTATACGAAATCAATTTCAAAACACAATAATAAATGAGTTATCACAGACAAAAGTTCAACCAATCACAAATACGTCGACATACAATATCACACATATTAATGATACTTCTATTGCACCTGTAGTTACATCACAAATCTTAAGATCTGGTCAATTTAATGAAGATTACATTCACTTTGATGTTCAAAATTTTAATTCTACGTAATATTAGTTGTTGAATTTGTTTTTTAAGTTTTAAGTTTGATTTATGTTTTTACAGTATAAAGTCATGGCTGTTTATTTTTAATAGTTTGAAAAAAAAGTTTTTATTTGATTTTTAGTTGATTTTTTTAGTTCTATTTAAGCAATGAAGTAATTGTTTTTATTTATTTTATTTTTTTAAACAGTTTTTAGACAAGTTTGTTATTATTACTATTAAAATTAAATAGTATTATATTCTACGTATTTATAGTTATTAAAATATTTGTTTTCTATTTGATTTATGTTTTTCCAGAATTAATGCATGGCTGTTTTTTTAATAGTTAATTTTTCAAAGTTTTCTTTAGGCATAGAAGTAATTGTTTTTAATTTTTAGTTAAAAATTGTTTTTTGACAAGTTTTTTACCATCAATATTGAAATTTAACAACAATTTATAATACAATTAAATATTTATATTTCTGTCTAACACATACTTACCGCAATGTTAAAAGTAATCTTTCCTCCACAGGTATTGGAACTTGAAAATTGGTAGTGTTAAGATTAAACTCTGGTCTTATACATTCAACAATATAATCAAATGTTTTTATAGACATTCTTGTATATGTGTAAAACAAAGTCTCATTACTATTACGCAATTCTCTATATAAGTGGTAAAATTCACCATAAGTTTTTCGATTTTTTAAAATAAAATTGTTGGTTTTTTTTTTAATGTATTTTTTATACAAATAGTGTTTAATACATATACTCTCTGCAAGTATAATTTTTTGCTGAATACTAAAAGACATGATTGAAAATATATAACTTTGATCAAAAGGCAAATAGAAATCACTCGTTTAAACTACTCTCGATCACGTTCACAATTATTGTGAGCACTGAAGGCAGGTTTATATTATTTTAAATTAATTCGTAGATTTCTAAATTGTACGCATCGGACGCAAATTGACGTTGGACATGCATGCGATTGTCGCAATAATGTGCGTCGATTGCGATGCGAAAACGGACGCGCCGGACGCAATTCGGATTTACGTTGGACACGGCTTTAGTATAACTAACGTTAATATTTAATAATGCTTTGATTAATCATAAAATATTGTCTACATTAGGCGACATGTTTGATTTCAAAAAGGTTACTTAGCTCCTTTTGCTTTTTACAAATCGATATTTATGTCGGCGGAGTATACATTTTTTTTTTTTTACTAATAAAATTGAAATTAGCAATACGAAAACTCACTGTTCACTATAACACATTATGAAGACGACCGGCTGAATTAACCTTAAAGCTTTAACAAAAGTAATGCTCCACCGGGGAATTACAATCTACATCCTATGTTACATAAAAGGTAAGCACCCGATTTGAATAAATTAGGTTTACGTGAAAATAGTATATATCTGCAGTTGCATCCGTTTCTGTAAGCCAACCCGGCTAACCCAGTCGGGTTCGTGTCCGTCGTCCCAGTTTTTCAATATTGCGGTCTTAACTGCGATTAGACTGCAATTGAAAAATTTCAATCCGTAGCTGCGCGCTTAAGTATACTTTGCATCATGCCCGTTTATCGAATAAACTTCGAGATTTTTATAACGCTCGTTTCTGGAGAGATTTTCGATTCTAGTTTAATAAACGGCTAACGGGATCTACGGTAATATGGGGTATTCAATATTTACGCGATATAGCGCTCATCTACACTTTATCGATGGTGATATTAATTTAGTTTTTATTTTTTTAACAAAACAACAAATTTTTTATTTACATACGCTTGATGATGCCTCGTGAGAATATTGGTCAGCCACAATCATTTGCCAGTGTAGCGGTGTAAATAAATATATTTAAATTGGTTTTTTTATTTTTATTATTATTATTATTTTTAATCTCGTATATCTTAAAATAGTAATCTTGATGTAAAAAAAAAACGTCGAAAAAATTTTTTTACTTTTAAAAAACTTTCACTTTTAAAGATTATACAACATCTTTAATATTTTGTCTGACAGTAAATGTAAAAAAAAAAAAATGTGGTTTACAAAATGTATAAATATATTTTAAATATATTTTTGTATAATTTGGATTTTAAAGTTTGTAATCTTGGTCGTCACAAATAATGTTCTCATTTATATATACTGCGAAAAAAACTAATTTACCACACACCATCTAGCTTCAATATGTTTCTTGGCATAGTGATTTGCTACTTGATACTTTTAACAAAGAAATTGTTCAGCATCCATACTTCTACTACATCGAGAGTTATGTAAGTCAATTTTTAATAAAGTATTGTTTTTTTTTATTATTTTATGTTATTACATTAATTTATGAATGAAAACTTAGTCGACATTATTACTATTGTAACAGCCGGTTACAATAAAAATAACTAACTATACTTAACAATTAATAAAATCTAAAAAAAAAAAAAAAATGGCGTAACTCTTGCTGAATAATAACGGTATTAGTTTAAAATCACATAGAAACATAGTCGTGATGATAACTGAATTAAAATCTAATTGTTAATGTACGAAAGCAGGGGAAAAAATTAACACGGATGTCATTGCAACCAATAAATTTTATTGAATTACGGCTGTACGTGACATATTTTGTATTGTACATATTATAATACATATAATGTATTCGAAGTTGAACAATATGGGTTTTGTACTCGCACAAACAAAAAATACTAACGCCCTCAATATTTTGTTTTTTCCTAAAACGATAGATAAACTTTGTTATATATTTTCCGTTGAAACGCTGCCAAAATATGTAGTGTATGTACGAAAATTAATACAACGCACGATTAAAGCGTCGATGAACGAGCTGTCGGGAACAGAGTCAGTTTGTGATACAAAGTTGGTTTGTAATAATATCATTATAAATATTATGAGCCGTCATTAAATGCACAATATACCATTGTTGGTGCATCATCATTAAGTTTGCGTGGAACGTGAAAACCTTGTGTGTATTGTTCCACCAAAAAAAATTTAACTATTGAAATTTGAGTAAACAATTCATTATTTCTAAAAACTCCCAAATACATATTCTGCGTAAAACGATGATTGATTGGCTGTGATCGGTATCTCTCGTATGTTTCAACGAATTATTACGCTCAATTAAAGTTTTAAAGTTAGAATTTTTTTTGCACTACCTATTAAAATCTTTCCAATCAGAATATTCCATAGCTTTGATGCAGTTTTTTAAAAGACAAATTATAAAAAAAAAATACAATTCAATTGTTACAATAGAATTATATATATTATTATAAAAAATATTCTCCGCTTGATGGAATATTTAATTTATCCACGTTTGTAAAAGTGATACAAATCGTGAATAGAATTTTAGTAGTGTAATAATTTTAATTATGCCTATACAGCTATTATTTTGAAGGAGATACAAAAATATCAATTTCTACTCAGTAATATTTCCAATTGGCCTTGAAATTATAAGACGTCATTTTTTTTAGAGTATTTTTAAATGTAAACGTGTACTCGTGCTCAGTTTTATTAAATTGCGAACATTAGAGGTACAAAACTGTTAGCTAAGTTATATGGAATTTGTTCAAATGATTACAGTGATCAGAAAACTTTTACAAATAGATAGTTATTGGTTCCTCTGCTCCCCCATAGTTTTAGAATTTTGGATCTGTAAGAAAAACTAACAAAAATATGCACGATCCTAAGAATCAATAAAAACAGTAAATATTGGTTCAGGCATATTCTTAGTGCACTATATAATATTATGTTAATTTTAAATGCATTTGTGTTTCAATCACTCGTTGGTGCGTTCAACTGAATGGCGAGTCTATTTGAATATACAGAATATACTTACGTATTAATTGATGATACATGAATTGTACCAGTGTATATGTTATACACAATAAGTATTTCTCGCTATTATATATATTGTAGGATAGTCCTCTATTATATATGAAATAAAAAAATTAAATTATCCATAACACCCCCCCTCTCCCACCCATAAAAATGATTTTTATTGCTAAATACATAAAACTAATAAAAATGATTAAAAAAAAATTTCAGAAAAATCGAAAAATTTTAACACATGTCACAAAAGGTTTGAAGTTGAAAAAAAAATTTAAAAATTGTTAATTTTTTGTATTGGAATCCAACACACTCTAACGGAAAAAAATGGCACCAAAAATTATTTTGAATATAAATTATGCAAAACTAAATTTACCATAATTTGTTTCCTATACTTTCTATTATAAATCTTAAACTTTTTCAAATATTTGAATTAAAATAGTGGTACAAATCGATAAATAATCAGTATCGGGCGATTGCTTAAATAATTTTAAAAGTACACCTTTGTATTAAGACCTATTTCCATATTTTGCGATTTTTACGTGAAGATTATTTCCATGTTGTTTCCATGAATCATTGTGAAATTCATAACTCAAACAACAAAAATAAGTATTATCTACATCATTGTACATAACTACACTTTGAACTTACATATTATTGAGGAAGATAGAGTTGATTGGTGTTTATCAAAAAATTATTAAAAAAAGAAAACATTTAGAGAATTGGAAATAAGCTAAAAATAAAAGAAGAGATTGTAAAGAATTTGAAGCTTCTTGTAAGATTTTAGTTTAAAATAATAATTTAATTTATATTATTTATACCTACAAACCTAAACGATTGTTGATTGGTGTTTAGATTAAAATGTACAAATATTTTGTTCTGATGCAACAGCATCAAACACAGGTCGCTTAAACGAAACTTGTGTTTTGCTTGAGCAACTATTAGAACACGAAATCGTATACTTACCATGCAGCCTTCATATATATGAAATTATATTGGAAAGTGTGTTCGATTTAAAATTTGAAGTAACGTCGGACCCAGAAGTAGCTAATTTTAAAAGATTTCAACAAGTCTGGGGAACAATGAACCCTAACAATTTTAAACCTGGTATAATATGAAAAATATCACAAATGAAAAATAAGGATCACCCTAGTATATTGTACTAGCTGTAAGTGCTGACGTGAATTATCATGAATTATATTGTTATTTGTAGGTGTCAC